GCTTGCGTTTTCGCCTTTATCGAAGAAAAACTGTAAAATATGGCGTATTTTCTCTTTGCTGTCCATCTTTGACGCGCACTCAAACAATACTGAGTCAAGCAATCACAAAACTGTCTGAGAAGTTTTTTTAGTACAAAATCTTATTTTTCTAACGCCATTTAGCGTAACCCGATCGCACTTATACAACGCGAGATACAGATTACTAAAGCCATCTATTGGAAAAATAATGGATTTCTTTTTACTACTAATATATATGGTCGACAATTAAAATACAAATAAAAATAAAACAGACGTCCAATAACTTTAATAACGAATACCGGTAATCACAAACGTTTCGATTCATATCGGATCCTTCTCAATGTTAAATTAAAAATTAGACTTCTATAACTCTTCTCTCTATCTCGCAGCCAACATAATTAGTATGATGTGGAATAACCAGTTATGTATATAATGCATGATTTCAGTTCGACATAGGTCATACAAATTCGGTAAAATGAGAGGCAGTCATCTAAGCTACAATCAGTAATATAAAATATAAGATGAAAAATTACAGTAGTCATACATGGGTAATAAATATAAAATTTATAAATTAGAGTCAATAATATAGTCAGTAATATGGTCAATAATATAATGTAATCGTTAATATGAAATGATATGCAATGAAATAAAGTCAGACATATAGTTGTACAATATAAAATAAAACAGAAATATGAACTAATATAATTCGTAATATAATATATGCGGAGAGCGATAATAAGATAATAAACAATAAATAATAGGTAAGAGAATAAAATATGAATACCTTCATGTATATTATAATAGACTAATGCGAGGAGAGTTAAAAATTTTGTCTTCATTTCATTAGTATACTTAGACATAATAGACATTGAACAAAAAGGTAGATAGAGGATAGCATAAGAGGGGGAAAAACGGAATAGACAAAGAAACAATAGAGGAGAGGGGGCAAATAAAGGAAAAGAGAGAGGAAGGCAGCTATGAAGGAGAGAGAGATTGTATGACTTGCAAATAAGAATCCGG